CCAGTTCGTTGTCCAAAAACAAAAGTTCTGTTCATTTCCGAGGAACGCGCCTGGTTTTCTCTGCTAAAACAGTTTTACAAACATTAATTATTCTTCTTTCTAATTTGTATGAAGTCAACAGAAGCATCAGATCTGAGTTTGGTTGCAGCTCCGGCTTTAATCTGAGTGAGCAGCCTTTAACCAGCAGGCTGCCCAGTGCTGTTACTGACCACTCCTGCTGATGATTATGAGTCAGTAAAACTATCGATGCATTTCCTGTTTCCTGTTAAGGACAAGTGTTTGGATGCTGCTGAGAAGGTTTGTCCAGCAGAATCACCACCGGGAAACGGTCGGGAACACCTGAGGTTGCCGGATGACTCTGCTTATTGCCTCTGGTTATTTTTAGATAATAACCGCCCTATTGTTACAGCCTGCTAAACAAAAGATGAATCCAGAGCGATTGCATGGCTGCCACTCGCTGCCTCCAGCTTGTTCCTCTCACGACAGCGGCTCATCGCCTCACTGTCACTAATGAACATTCTAATTATTTCACTAAGCTGACAACATGCAGCAGTTTGATCGATGGCGCTTACTTTTGACCTATTGATGCCCTGCATCAGCATCCAGCAGGAGCGCTGCCCTGGCTCTTCCTCCCTCCGGGGACCATGTGATCACATGAAGATCATCAAACAGGAAGCTGTGCTGCCCAAAGCCAGTAAGGAAGCGCATTACCTCCAGTTCAACGACAATAATGTCTCCACAAAACAAACAACCAAATTGGACCGAGATAAAGATGGGCGTACCACTTCCGGGAACTCTGATCTCAGCAGTTAGACTCTTTCTGTGCCCGAGCCAATCAACAAAAGCCTGTGAAGCTCACTTCTGCCACGTGCTTCTGCGTTTTCTCCCTGCTCGGAGGCTGGCTCGGATTTAAGGTCTGCGGTTTATTTTATTTGCTCATCTTATTGACATTTGAAGCATGCACATGCTGTTGCCATTTCTGGTTCGTGAGCATGTCACGCTTTTCCTTTCAAACCTCTGCAGAGCCTGTCAGGGGCTAGAACACCAGAACAGAGTCCTGAATCCTGAACTGTGTCCAGCTGAAAGAATTCCTGTCTCAGGAGGAGAACCGACACACCCAGATGGTTTTTCTCTTGCATGACTTCAACACCCCCACTCTGACCCTAGCTAGCTCATCAGCAGGAGACCCTTTCATCTCTGAAGAGAACAGGTGGTTATGATTGTTGTTTCTCTGATGATGCGAGGCTCTCCGCCTGCTCGTGTCTTCCGTATGGAATGCAGCATTTGCTGAAACAACGTAGCCAGGTTTGGGAGCGACGCAGCAGATATTTCTGGTTACGCCCGAGACGCCACTAAAAACAACCACCACCCACTCCTGCTCAGCTGTTTTAGGCCATTCCACGGGCCATGTGGTACTTTTCATCCCTACGAAGGCGTTTGGATGCTCGTCTGTTCAAACCAGTAGCAAAAACAACAACAAGAGTCTAAACAACAACCACACAGATCCTCTAACCCTAACCCTAACCGGTCCCTCTCCGTTTGCTAGCCTCTGATTTACTCCACCCCTCACTGTCTCTGCAGCAGAATGTCAGACTGGATGTGACTCACCCACAGGGACCAAACATGTTATTCAGAGTGCTTCAAACATTTGCTTGCTAGCTTTGGACGGGTTAAAAAAAAAAAGCAGACAACAAGTTCCTCCTTGGAGACTATCAGCCGTTTTAGCAGAGTGGGCCGCCTTCTGCCCTGCTAAATGGTTAGGGTTATACCGGCGCAGTGGGTGATAGGCTGCCTCAGATGTGACATAAAACAGATCATATAATAGGCTGCTGCATCCAGAGAGGTGGTTCTGTTGTTTCTGTTGTCAAAGCACAGCGTTTAAAATCAGCAGCAGCACGTCCGCTGCGCCGCTCCCCACAGGTGTTTCTCATAAATGTAAAAGCAGTGATCTCAGATGTGCTCAGCACTAATCCACGCTGAGCATCTTCCAACTCCCGCAGTTTGTTGGCAGAAAGCTTCCAGCAGAAGTTATTTTTTCCCAAAATGTTTCTTTTGGAATATTTTAGCCAACATCTCAGGTAGAGCACCCCCCCCTCCCCTCCAGAGCAAGCTGGATAACCCTGATGACAGCTGAGAGGCTCGCAGCTGCAGCCTTGCCGGGTCAGAGCTGTGAGGCCATTAAGACCATCGCTGCTCTAAGAACGCCATGAACTGAAATAACAAGCTCGTGTCTCAGATCCAAGTGTGGCCTGGGTCCCGGTGCACTCAAACACACTGTGAGAAGCATAGAAGCCACATTAAAGGCAAAACTTGTTTAAAAACGCCAGGCTCTCTAATTACAGTCAGCCCTTATTAGGAATGAGCGCCTATCAGTAACAATTAGTAATTCATACACAGCTTGTGGCGAGTCCAAGTCCAGTCATATTTGTCCATGTCTAAAGACAGAGACCATGATGGTATGGCGCGGTATGGGGGCCAAAATTCAGACTACTGCCCAGCAGCAGGAGGCTATAGAAGTTCCGAAGCAAACTACTGATCTGATTAATGATAAGCTGGCGCCGGTAACTGAGAGGCTGGCACTGCTTACTGAGAAGTAGCACCTTTACCGGCGTCACTACTAGATATGCTAGGGACTAGCTTCCCTCGGCTGGTCATTGACTGGATCTCACACTCCCTCTGCTGTCTATTAGCATGGATAGGCTAGCGTTAGCCTGGACGGGCTGGTGTTAGCATTGGAGAGGCTGACCATTAGCATGGATAGGCTGGCGTTAGCATCGGAGAGGCTGGCCACTAGCTGGATTTCCTACCTCCTCGACGGACCATTAGCATGGATAGGCTGGCGTTAGCATCGGAGAGGCTGGCCACTAGCAAGTCTCGGAGAGTCACTTACTCTATAAGATGCAGGGTTTTTTTTTGTTTTGTTTTAACTTTTATTAAACGTATGACATACGGCAAGACCTGCAATCACAGTTGCTTCTTTGACAGAAGACAACAGTAAGTTTAGTGCAACAAAACTATTGTTCCCCTAAGGGAAATGATTATCAGACACATTTTACATATATAGTTTTAATAAAGATAACATCACAATTTTAATAATTACTAACCTGTAATTCAATACAAAGGATTTGAAATCCAGAGATGAAAAGTACATATTAGTTAGCTCTGGCTTTTTCTCTGATATGTGCAAGAAAACCAAACTATTTAAAATGAAAACGCCATCAATTAATAGAATGGAGTTAACGCAGCACCTGATCAATGCTAACAGGCTGTCAGCTTTACAATATGCTTAAAGTTAATCTGTATAACAGTGTGTTCTCTCAAAGAAGCAACTGTGATTGCAGGTCTCGCCGTATGTCATACGTTTAATAAAATTTAAATAAAAAAAAACCCCGCATCTTATAGAGTAAGTGACTCTCCGAGACATGCTAGTGGCCAGCCTCTCCGATGCTAACGCCAGCCTATCCATGCTAATGGTCCGTCGAGGAGGTAGGAAATCCAGCTAATGGCCAGCCTCTCCGATGCTAACGCCAGCCTATCCATGCTAATGGTCAGCCTCTCCAATGCTAACACCAGCCCGTCCAGGCTAAAGCTAGCCTATCCATGCTAATAGACAGCAGAGGGAGTGTGAGATCCAGTCAATGACCAGCCGAGGGATGCTAGTCCCTAGCATATCTAGTAGTGACGCCGGTAAAGGTGCTACTTCTCAGTAAGCAGCGCCAGCCTCTCAGTTACTGGCGCCAGCTTATCATTAATCAGATCAGTAGTTTGCTTCGGAACTTCTATAACCTCCTGCTGCTGGGCAGTAGTCTGAATTTTGGCCCCCATACCGCGCCATATGATGGCTCTGCGCCAGCTCCCCACTCCAGAGCAGATCACCATGAATACCATCCAAACTCCAACCAACAGGCCAGGAGATCTGCTCCCATCAGAGACTCATCTCAGATCTCTGTTGGTCTGTCTTCATTTACACAAGTAAAAAAATCTGACATTTTTTATGGTCAGTGAACTCAACATCACTGGAAATAACCAGTCAGGATGTGCACTGTGATTACTTCAACTTTCCTAATTTTCATGTTAATCGGGACTTTGGAGAATAAAGCTGGATTCTGTTTCTGTATTCATAATAACTGAGGTGAGACTGGTGTCTGCAGGTCGCAGCTGCACGGGAACTGCGGTGCATGAGTAGGCTGAAGGCTGAGGGTATGGAGCAGCAGGAGAGAACACCTGATCACGGAGAAGCCTCGTCAGGAAAGGCTCTGTTGGTCTGGAGGGGAAACTCTCTGATGCCTCCTGCGTGGAGCTGACTCCCAAACCAACAAAACACAGACGGGTCACTGACGCTCCGCTTCTGCGTGCGTCCGAGACGCGTTAGTGTGGCTCCTACAGGTGTTTAAACCTCCAATAACAGCAGCGGAAACGCACCGATGCTTTCTGACTGGAGGGGTGGGGGCTGCCCGGCTCCTCCCGCGGCCAGCCCGCCGAAGGAAAACCCGTTATCTCACATCAGTGCGCCTCCATCCCGTTACTGAACCGCAGCTGCATGTTTAATTCACCAAACTCCACAGAAAGTTTCTGTTCCTTCGGTAACACACACACACACACACACACACACACACACACACACACACACACACACACACACACACACACACACACACACACACACACACACACACACACACACACGCAGCGTGGGTGTGCTTAGAACATGAAAGAGTTAATTAATAAATCAACTACTAAGTTTTTTCGATGGAAACACCCTGAACGCGTGTCTGATCAAAGTAAATAATAAACAAATAAAGTAAATAAAATAGATCTCTTTAACTCAGCAGGCTGGGTTTACTTAGCGGAGCTGCGCTCGGAGTTTAGCGGTAGTTGGGTCCGGTAGTTACTGATGTTTTCCACCCAAACCGGGCGGATAAAGTCCCACCGTAGCGGATACAACGGGACAGACACGTCCTACACCGACGGTCGGAGCCGGACCAATTCTCTCTACTTACAGTGAGTTAAGAGGAGAGTCAGGAGGAAAGCCAGACGCGATTTCGCCATCTTGGTCTCGATGCAGCGCTCGGTGTGTGTGTGTGTGTGAGCGGCCGTGCATGCGCACAGTAACGTCTACGGCTCGGTGAGGGGGGTGGGGGGTGGGGGCAGAGAAAGAGAGAGAGAGAGAGAGAGAGAGAGAGAGAGAGAGAGAGAGAGAGAGAGAGAGAGAGAGAGGGAGGGAGGGAGGGAGGGAGGGAGCGGGGGGGGGGGTCTATTATAATGGGTTTCCATGGTTACCCAGAGCATCACTCACACGGACAGGAATGCCTGGGCCTAGCTGACACCAGCAGCTTTTATTCCCGGCCTCCCGTTAGGATGAGGAATCAAACCAGGTGGTTTATTCTAGTAAAGCTGGGTTAACCTTAACCCAACTAGCCCTGCTGGGTCCTTCTTACACAGGCAGCGCCTTGGACTTCAAGATAAATGCAACAAAACCCAATGATAGGATTGAATACTCACTCGTTTTTATTTCAATTTTTTAATGTGGATAAAAAAATTAGATTAAAATCTATAAAAAAACGTTTTCTTTTTTGTAGGTTGAAAAGCAGTTTATTAGAATTATATTAAAAATGTAAACAACTGTATTAAAGTTATGCTTTGTGGAAAATTCTGAATTTCTCTTTAGTCAACATGAGCTAAATCTGCACAGGTACACCCAGCTGCTCGTGTAACCCGGTCAGATATGTTCCTGCTGCTGTCTCAGTCGTAGTTGTAATATTTCCCTAGTGTTCACTAAATACACACACACACACACACACACACACACACACACACACACACACACACACACACACACACACACACACACACACACACACACACACACACACACACACACACCTGATTCATTACATATCTGGGTGTTCCTAGTTCTCCATAACAAAGTTGTGTTAGATGTGGAGATGACCTCATGGAACAGAAATCTACCAGACCTAACGCAACACCAGAGACGACTGAGGGCAGTGTGACGCCATGTTTTCCTTAACCATGGATGTTTTCTTCCTACTGACTCTGTTATGAATGTGGACACATGGTGGTCACAGTAACTAAAGCTCCCCTGCGTCGTTGGTCCTATCAAACTCAAAGCTCTCCTGCGGTCGGCTTACATCCAGTAGTTTTCTCCCACTGACACCTGCTATAATTCTGCAGTGACAGCTGTTGCAGCCTGGGAAATGCCTCCCAAAACATGCATATGGCAGGCAAGTAAACAACCTCTCGTAATGAACCATAAGAGGGTTAAATAAGATTTGTGAGATGCGTGCAAATTTAGAGCACAAATACCTCCTATCTGTTTGTGCTCTGTGTGAGTGTGAGATGAATTTTGCTTTCATTAGAGAAAACTGTGATGCTCTCTTCATTAGTGCAGCAATTATATCTAAATATAGCCATATGTCTGATTATGCTTGGGTGCAGATGAAATGTAGTAATTATATAATTCATGCTTATCTGTAATTCAGAAAATTAGCTAAAATCAATCAAGGGAAGTAAAAAGTGCCAGGTTACTTTTATCTGTTAAGCTAAAATCAATTCATCCCAATCCAAAATAAACAAAATAAAGACAAGTCTCTGCAAAACCTAAAAGAATGCATCCATGTAAAGTTGGATAAGAAGTAAAGATGAACCAAAAAATAAAAACATTTTTTCAGAACTCAACACTTCCACTTGAGGAGCGACTCCTTGTTACGTCATTCTTCATTTCAAATCCTTGATCCGGAAGGTTAACATGTGCATATTTCTAAATATTGTGGGTTTTCTGCAGGGGCCCTATCTTTGAGACACAGAAACACTGAGTTTTACTACAGACACTGAACATGTTGGTGTTCCTTGAAGCCAAGCAGATGTGTTGGACAACTCCCTCTGTGAGGTTGGGTCTACTCTCTGCGTGTTTTCAGAGATAAAACAACAAAAGCTGTGGAAGTGTGATCCCCTTCTCTTCTTGTCAGAGAAAACAGAATGAGACTAAAGGGCTTTCATGTCCTCTGCTGCCAGAGCCTGTGGGGAAATGACGTAGAACTAAAGAAGCTAGATTCATTGCACAAGTTTAAATGAGTACAGAAGACGTCAAGGCAGATTCACAAAGGAGCTAATTATTACTGTTCTTGTTGCTGCTGTGCGTATATTTATATTCTAATTAGCATGCCACACCATGTGTCTGATTTTGTGAAAATGCTTGACAAAGTGTGTTTTTTGGTTGGCTAAGCGCCTTCCTCAGTAGAAATGAACGCACTGGGGGTGAATGGAGACCCATCTAAAATGGCAGCTGGCTTCCACGGCAGCTCCAATGGGCAGCGACAGCCAGTCCACGGAGCGTCTACATATGCATGGCTGAGATGTTCTCTGCTGTTTCTTGGACGCTAAACCAACAACAACCTTCCCTGTCATGAGAAAAGATGGGTGAGTCCATGAATGTTACGTAGATGTGAAGTAGATCACCGTCAATTATCTATCAGAAGCTAATGCAGGAGATAGGTGTAGGAGACTATTTTCATGTCCCGCCTGCATGAAAAACTCAGAGTGACCGACTAAAAACCAGAAATAGTCATTAAAATGTTTTTTTCAGTGAACTACGTTTTTAATTTAGAAGAAATCAAAGAGTGGTTGTAAATGGAGCTTAACAAATCTAAGAACATTTTAGATAACTTTCCAGTTTTGTTATTAAATGCAGCTTCCACTAAAGGGTTTGGTAAGAGGTACTGATAAATGGGTTGTATCGCTTGACACTGACAACTTTAAACATGTATTCGATGTGCTGCTGTTGTTTTGTACTGTTGGCCTAATAGACGGTCTGCAGCAGGAACCTTTCGATAATTTCAGACATTTGGATGGTAATTTAAGCCAAGTTAACTATGCTGATGATGTGAAGTAAGTCATGCTAAAGTCAAGCTAAGTCCAGTCAAGCTGTTAACCTCACCAATTCATCCTGATTTTCCTGCAATAATGAAACTTTGATTTGTTGCCCTATTGGGCCCAAATCTCCTGAACATAGCATAGTCATTTTCATCTTGGACTGCTCTTTTTCTCTTGCTGTCATGGGGAGGGGGGGGGGGGGGGGGGGTGATGCACCTTTCAGTTGGTTGCCGGCCGCCGTAAAACTCTAAGAAGAAGAAGAAGAAGACCTCAAGGCGGGGTGATTACTACAACTCGGTAGTTTTCCAGCCTTCCAGTGATGTAGTGTTTTTCTTGTGACTCTTAGGATTATCTATTTTTGCAATTTGTTGTGTTCACACCTGCCTCAGGATTTTGGATCTTCACTGGTGCAGAAGCTTCTCTGGGTTCTGTTACTCACCTGGATACTCAGCTTCTACATAAACCTGGTGTTCTCCTCCATCCGCTCCGCTCACCTGCTCTCCACACGCTCCCTCTCCTGGACCTACTCACCTGGACACACCCTGACTCTAGATCTGCCCTTCCCCATACCTCCACCTACCTAAATCCCTGTAAGTCTTTTCTCTGCACCTTCCCAGTTAAGACTTATCTCTCAGGACTCACCTTTATCTGCTCTCCCCCTCAGACGCTGCGCTCCGTACTCCCGTCCTCCACTGGAATTTCCAGTGCGCCTTATATTCTCGTTCTGTAAATAAACTTATCATTTTGTTTAAAACCAGTGAGTTGTGTTGTGATTCTGCATGACCTGAGTTAAACGCCTTCCCCAGATCATGACAGGAAACACCAAGGTGCTGATTAACATCAGCAGCAGCATCGTCTCTCCTGCCTCTCCTACAGCCTCCATCCACTCTGTTGCAGACTGTGAGAACTTTCTGTCTTTCTTTGTGGACAAAGTCAATAAGGTTAGATCTAGCATCTCTCCTTCAGCCTTATCGCCGCCTCTCCCGACTCCAACCAGGCACATCATCCTAGATAGCTTTGCTCCTGTTTCTTTGCCTGAGTTAACCAAACTAGTTAACTCTATGAAGACCTCTGCATGCCCCCTCCACATCTTACCCTCATCTTTGTTTAAAAGTGCTTTTCAGTCCATCGGTCCCAGCGTGCTCTCTATAATTAATGCTTCTCTGGTTTCTGGTCAGGTCCCTGCTTACTTTAAGAATGCTGTAATCCACCTGCTTCTTAAACCGAGTCTTGACGCCTCTCTCCATAGCAGCTTCAGACCCATCTCTAAACTTCCGTTCATCTCAAAGATCTTGGAAAAGGTTGTGGCTAAACAACTCACAGCTGCTCTTGATGAACATAACATCTATGATAGCTTCCAGTCAGGTTTTCGTAGAGCTCATTCTACTGAAACAGCTCTTCTTAGGGTCTCTAATGACCTTCTGACTCACAGTGATGCAGGGGACTGTTCTGTTCTGGTCCTGCTGGACCTGACTGCAGCCTTTTTTCGCTCGGACGAGGACCAATCAATGGAGGGTTCATTCACTGACCAATGAGCGGACAGAATGCTCCGTACATCTCCGAGCAAACATGAAGGCGAAGTTGATTATTATGTTTTATATAGTAAAATCAGAAGTAAGATTTCACATAACTCTAGCAGCACCTTGTGAAACATCATATCTACTGCTTTTTTAACTCTGAACCGCTTAAATAACCTTAATTCCCTCCAACCTGACACAGGCAAACAAAACAACAGAAGTTTCGATTTTGCCATGGAACAGAACGCGTAGACGGCTTTGCTGCTGCCGCGGCTCGCCTCCCGTGTGTAGAGCCCCTTACATGGACAAGCACCACCATACATTGGTGATCTTCTCAGTCCCTACACCCCCAGCAGGTCCCTGAGGTCCAGTGATCAAAGCCTACTGGTTGTGCAGCACCAGGCTAAAGACCAAAGGTGACAGATCATTTGCTGCTGTGGCCCCCAGACTCTGGAACTCTCTCCCCCTGAGCCTGAGATCAGTGGACTCAGTGGTCTCCTTTAAAAAGCAGCTGAAGACTCACCTGTTCAGGCTTTGGTGTGACCTTCACCACCCTCTCCTTATTCTGCTCTTATTCCACCTTATTCGAGATCCATTGATTTCCCTCTTTCTTATTCATTTTCTCTCTCTCTTTCTTTAACTGATTTTACTCAGAATGTAGATAGTTTCTCAATTTAAACATATTTGAAATCATTTTTTGA